GAGACGTACAACAGATAATTTATGGCCTCGTCTAAAGCGGCGTATTTTATGAGTTACGGTATCGCATAATCCAGGATGACCCACGCATATTCACAGTTTGAAAGAGAATATTTGATTAATGATTCAATTAATTGTAATCAACCGTGTAGGCGACATTTAAGGCGAACCGTGCTGTGCGTGGTTTGTGTGGATCCGCGTATAAAGCAGACTCTGACTGTATAAAATACTCTACGTCTGGCGCATTAACGTTGACTAGCTTAGCAAGAGTGAATGGATTGTAATTGTAATGCGTATTCAGATTTATTTTCGATAGAATCGATAATAATAATTTCTCCATTTATATCTCATGGCTGCATAATGTCTGAGATGTGAAAAGTTGCTTTCCGTTGACGTGGTGCATGGCGCATAACGGGGTGAGGGAGTGGCTCTAATTAGATTAGATTTTTTCGAGTAATTGATCATTAAAGGTCAGCTTCAAATGATGAAGTTTCTGAGTGCGGGCGGAATGAGACTTAACGCGCCTAAGCACTAGTTATATATATATATATATATACGAACACTGCTTATATTGAAAGCCAAACTACAAATAACATATTCACACTTAATTGAAATCAGTATCGCATGAAATACAGATATCCTATAATTGCACTGATGGGACTATGTCACGAAAAAATATGATCGTCTGTGATTCCCGTTATTATTGTGTCATATACTAGTAACATGATGTATGTGAAGCATTAAAAAAAAATTATACGATAAGAGAATTAGACATATTGGAAAATATCCCGTGAGCACAAAAATGTCTCGACAAGAAGTTTACAAGCTTACTTCAATACAAACTAATGAAACAATAAATATTATTATATTATTATTATTATTATTATTATTATTATTGTTTATTATTATATTAATAAATATAATGATAATTATCTGAGTCCTCATAACTTCGGGCGACAACGCTATAGTAGCCTAGAGGTTAGTTCGCCGAGTTTATCTTGTAGCCTGGGTATATAATCCAATCGATCTTGTCAGAACAATATGCGACATTTTGCGGATATTCTAGAGCCGGAAGGTAAACTCAGAACCTAGCACTCTTCACCTAGCACCTCTCAGAACCTAGCAACATCAAACGTTGATTATAAATCCGTGAACCAAAAAAAACAAATCTAATCATTACTAAATGGAGCACGGGGACGGCGAAAACCCCGCAGGTCATCAAAGTCAGCCGCCCCTATAGATAAGTTTTAAATAGTAAGGACTATACAACACACGCATAAATAACACACATAGCTAAGACAACACATATAAATAACATCATCATCAAATATACAAACGGGACGTTTACAGTATATATATACAGTACCATAAAATATACAAACGGTACATGTATATACAGTATATATACATCACTATCAAATATATAAATGGTCGAAGGGTTACTTGTAGCTTTGTAAAAGGCTATTTCTAAAGTGTTGCTTAAATTTTGAAAAGGGTAATTTTTTATATGAATTGGTATGTCATTCCAGAGTTTTACTCCTACAAATTTTAATGTCTTATAACCAAGAATAGTATTAAATCTAGCTAGGTAGTACGACATTGACGTTGCAAGTCTAGTAGAGTGAGAGTGGATATTAGAGGTTCTGTTGAAGTAGTTATAAAAAAGATCAGGTAGTTCATTGTTAGTGAATCTGTACATGAGTTTAGCTAGTTCCAGTTAATAGATTTCAGAAAGTGTTATTATACAAAGTTTAGAAAAATTGGGCGTAGCATGATCTCTAGGCCCTGCAAAAGTCATGTAGTTTATTATTTTGTTATGAATCTTGGTTGCTGTTTCCCTTATGTATCTTATTGCTGGGTGTAATAATGATTTGGTTGCTGATCCCCAGCTTAGTATGGCATAGAGTAGATACGGGTAAACTAAGGAGATGTAAATCATCTCGTCAAGTACGTTGATATTGACGTAATGTCGTAACTTGGAGATAATTCCAGCTGATTTAGCGATTTTTGTACTTAAGTATAATGATAGTCCCACTTTAAATAGTGGTCAAAGTAGACGCCTAAGTATTTTATGTTAGTAGAACTCTGCCGCTTGTAGTCACCAACCCTTACCGATATACCATCATGATTTTTCTTTTCTTTTTGTCAATAAGCATATATTTGGTTTTCTCATAATTCAGAGAGAGTTTGTTAGCATGCAACCATCTCATAATATGTGCAAATTCAATGTTTACTTTATTTTCAATGTCTCTTAAGTTATAACTAGTCATAAATAGGTTAGTGTCATCCGCAAACAGACGGGTATTGAAATTACAAGCTAAAGGTAAGTCGTTAACATAAATTTAAAAAAAGGAGAGGACCCAATGTTGAGCCCTGGGGGACACCACATTTCATGCGAAGTAGATCTGAGGAAGAATCATTAATAGAAACATATTGTTTGCGATTAGAGAGGTAACTACTCATAAGGATAAGAGCTAATCCTCTTACACCATAGTGCTCAAGTTTGGTTAATAGGATATTATGTTGAACTGTATCAAATGTTCTTGATAGGTCAAGGAAAATTCTACACGATATTTGGCCTTCATCCATTGATGTTAGAAGCGTGTCATGAAGTTCTGAAATTGCTAGTGCGGTGGAGTGATTCTTTCGAAATCCGAATTGAAAGGGTGAGAGTATGTTACACCGATTTAAGAATTTATAGAGTCTATTGTATATTAATTTTTCAAATATTTTGGCAAATGGTGATATAAGTGATATTGGGCGGTAATTTGAAGGCGTATTAGGACAATTAGCTTTGTAGATTGGTATTATTTTTGAAATTTTTAGTAAGTTAGGAAATTTACCAGATTTTAGGCAGTCATTATAGATATCACAGAGAATAGAGGCTATCTGTAGTTTGGCGAGCTTTATGAATTTTATTGGAATATCGTCCTGATGCTTCCTGTATATCGAAATTGTTTATTATATCTAGGATTTCTTGGCTTATAATGGGCTTTAGAAAGATACTTTTATCATTTGAGACTGGTAGGTAGTTCGTAAAGTCTTCTATGGTTTGTGGTATTTTGTCTGCCATTTTAGGACCTATATTTTGGTAAACGGAATTGAACACGTTACATATTGCTTTCATATCTGTTATTGGGAGGTTGGCTGTGCTTGTTAATTTATCTGGCTGGGTTACATTTTTTTCTTTTATCCTGACAATGTTATTGATAGTTTTCCACGTTGTTTTCAGGTTGGATTTGTGTTGAAGTAGGTTTTCTTGATAGTAATTTTTTTTTGCTAGCTTTTTGGCATGATTAAGTCTATTCGAGTATTGTTTATATAGACTAGTTGGAACCCGCGCTAAGCGCGGGCTTAGTGACTGTGATGCATGTGTTACCAGTAGTGTTATGTGTAAGGTGTTTCATGGAGAGTTGAGTTGTTGCACATGTTTGTTTTTAATGGTTGAGATGTCAATACAAATACATGTACAATCATGCTTACACGTAACACATTAACCATTTGTTTGGCAAGTACACAGTGAAATACAGACACACTCACACACACACACACACACACACACACACACACACACACACACACACACACATACACTCTCTCTCTCTCTCTCTACTCTACTCTCTCTCTCTCTCCACACAAACACACACACACACACACACACCACACACACACACCACACACACACACCATCTCATTTATTACTGGCCGGTGGTACTACGCAATTAAAGGATCTCATGGAAACGAACGTTGTCAGTGTAAGTGCCATTTCTTGAAGTCAGCTCTGATGAAATCCTCGCTTGGATCCTCGCTTGGATCCTCGCATTTTTGTCCTCGCTTGCATAGAGATTAATAGACCGTTTGACATCCCTGGTTTCCTATGGAGTTGCTTCTCTTTACGTGATAGAACCCTATATGGGGCATGTATGTTTATAGATGTATGAAATGCATCAAACAGACTAGGAAGTGAGATATCAGGATCAACATCATGGAGGGCAAGGTTACAAATGTTTGTATTTAGGTTCTGCAAGAATCTATCAGGGGTCAAAAAATTTATTTTTTCGGATAATTACTTTTTTATGGGTTAGTCTCAGGTCGACAGACTTTATTAGTAGAAATATTGGGAGGTGATCAGATATATCTTGTACTATAATTCCAGGTAATTCCAAGCTCTCAAACGGATTATGGATATAATAGATCGAAATGCATTTAAGTGAAACAGTTGTAGGACCTGTGGCAGTGATGCTAACACAAGCAAATGGCGTGCATGTTTTTCGCCGTTGCTAACTCTATAGCCTATACGCCTATGCTAACTCTATAGTTAAACGCATGAAGAGCTAGCTATCCTCCACGAAAATAACTTGTCACGCGAGTCGCGCGAAACAAATCCCAATAAATCCGTCACCGCTTTGAAGTTCTCATCAGGTTAATAAGATGCTATGCATGAACGTGTTACGCGGTTCTAGGGAGATATACGCGACGTATTGTATTGCAGGCAGTCAGATAAAAAAAAACCTCATTGTAGACTCATTGAATCGCTCTGAATAAAGATGCAGTCTGGCGGTCTGCCAACTCCGTGCATTAACAGATTGGCATGTGTTTGTGCGATGTGCGTGATGCTTGTGCGTGTCTCTTGCCGCGCGCGCGGGCGCTAGCGCGTGCGTGCGTGCGTGCATGTTGGTTGTGCGTGTATCTCATTTGCCGTTGCCGTCGCTCGTTGCGAGTTTTTCTCCGCGACGCGCACATTGCGACGTAACGTGCTACTAATCCTTGACCAAGTGACGATAAGTTCCGAACGAAGAACATTTACACGCATTAAACGGTCAGTCGAGCCATCTTCTTACCGCAACAATGAACGCAGCCACCGTTCCCATGGTAGCGTAGTATCATCCGAATCAACTATCTAAACCACAACGACGCCATATTAAGCAATATGGCAGCTAATTAGACGCCCGGCCGCGTGTAATCCGCTTGGAAATAATCTCTCCCGTTGCACTGAGTCTTACCTGCGATAGCGAGATGCATGATGAAAAAGTTCATCCTAGACATTTTGCTTCTGTTCCATAGGATCGCAGCTAGCACAGTCGAGTTTCCGACGATAATCATCGTGAAGAGAACCCATATAAATGTCAGCTGCGTCTCCTGCAACACAAGCAACCAGAGTACATCAATTTTGTATAATACCTTGCGCAAATCTTCCTTTCACACCACACCGATCCATTCATCTATCTATCTATCTATTTATTTATTTATCTATCTATCTATCTATCTATCTATCTATCTTACTATCTATCTATCTATCTATCTATCTATCTATCTATCTATCTATCTATCTATCTATCTATCTATCTATCTATCTATCTATCTATCTATCTATCTATCTATCTATCTATCATCTATCGATCTATCTACCCATCATCCATCCATCTATCTATCTATCCTATCCATCCATCCCATCCATCCATCTATCTATCTATCTATCTATCTATCTATCTATCTATCTATCTTCTATCTATCTATCTATCTACCTATCTATATATATATATATATATTATTATATTCTTTTCTATCTATCTATCTATCTATCTATCTATCTATCTATCTATCTATCTCTCTCTCTCTCTATCTATCTATCTATCTATCTATCTATCTATCTATCTATCTATGTATGTATCTATCTATCTATCTATCTATCTATCTATCCATCCATCTAGATAGCTAGCTATCTATCTATCTATCTATATTTTTTTCTATTCTATTTAATCTACCTATATATTCGGCTCCCTCCTTACCACTCTATCCTTTTCCGTCTTCTCAACATATCCTCTTGTTCCCTTTTCTACCTCATAGTTATATGCATATTATAAAAATAACATGTTATAAGTAAACTTGATCACTATATTTTCATTCGAATAGTTGAATCTGCATTTGTCTGTCATATTGGTAACGTCATGCATGTTGTTTTAGAATTAAAAAATATAATAGAATCAAGCTTGTACATATAGCTATTTAGTAAACGGAACGAGCCATAATAGGAATATTCATCTGTAAGGGGTATAATGCTAGCGTGATATCGCTCGCATGTAGGAAATGATGCTGAAATAGCACATTACACGTTGAAACGTGACCGACATTACGGAAAAATTACCTTAAAACTCGTCATTTATTTACCTACTTTTGCAGCTTGTTGCATAAATAACGGTTTATTGAACTGTAGATGACGTTGCCGTACGCCTGTTCTTGATAAAATCGTTCTAGAAGTTATTACAATTGCGATCGGCTACTACGGGGCTAATAAATATGCATGGATCAGACACATGACCCTTCTCTCTTTCACTCGCTCTACAATGCCATCGCTTTGCCATGTATTTGTGCTTAGGAGTTAAGTATGACACGCGGCTGCATTAAAGTCAATATCCTTAATTTGCTGTGGCCATTTCGATAAAGGGCGCGAGTCGGAGCAATATCATGAGGCGACGCAAGTGATGTCATTTTCCCTACTAATCTCATGTCGTATGACGCTTTTATCTATTAAATTATTTCTGGAAAGCAGGCGCGAAATATGAACGCGCCATTAAGACTGTGTACTGCCAGCTATCTTCACTTCCATGTCAAGTTATCAATCTCTGTCAATGAACTCAGCATCAACGAACTATCTCGCATCAACATAATATTATGTGATCAGCTGAACCATATTGGCAACCGTTTTTTACTTCTTATCGTAATGACGATTCATATTTTAACGAAGCGATGATGCGAGCGATACGAGTTTGATCGCAATAATGTTTGAAATTGTGCCAGTATGGTAGAGAAAATGTAGTGCAATAAACCATCGGTTAGCTGACTCTCTCCAAAACGATAGATTCTAACAGCGCCGGAAGAGCAAACCGTATGTCGTAGTGCCTCCATTCAGAGAAAGTAGGGCTACTATATTAAAGGTTACGTAGCTGACATGCAATGACAAGTAAGACCGATGAGCTTCATAAAAAATCCAATAGATGTAGATAATAAATGAGTCACCGCCTCTAAACGATTGATTTCCCGGCGAGTAACTTGGACTCGGCCGTTGTGTCGTTGATGGAATAATTTTCTTCATCTTTGTTATCTACAAACGACGCAATTGGGCCGCCGCTCGTGCATTTTAAAGCTCAAAGGAAAACTGTAGTTGTTCTCAGCGTTATTATTGGGCACTTTCAATTGCGCAAAAAGATGTTAACTGACTTGACGAAAGTTGTATCGTAAACACAATCGGGATCTTAACTGTACACTCGGAACAAACCAGAGTGCCATCGCTCACTATCTTAAAACTGATAATATGAATATCAATTTTTTTTTCTGATTACTGCCAGGGAGAAGCCCGGTAAGTATGCTGCAATGTAGTCTTTACTATAGTAAATTTGAAGCGAAATGATATTTATGTATGTATTTATGTTCGTGACATGAAATCAATATTCTAACCGAGCTCTCATCGATTACGCATGTGTAACATCAAATAAAAAAAAGTTAACGCGAATTATAACTTTGCTCAACTTCTACGTCAGTGGGAAAGTGCTCAAGTAATATTTCAGCAACGCTAGACTTTGACTGCTAGGAGGGAAAATGTGGTGTGTTCTTGTTCGTCGTCAATCCATCATTCCGCCTTCTGTCTATCCATTCAATTATGTTTTTGGTGTAGCGTATGTGTATTGTGTATTGTGTATGCGTGTGGGAGGGGGGGGTGAGTCAGTGTGTGTGCGCGCGCGCGCGTGTGTGTGTGTGTGTGTGTGTGTGTGTGTGTGTGTGTGTGTGTGTGTGTGTGTGTGTGTGTGTGT